TATAGTATAAAACATATTTAAAATCATAATTTATGAATAAGAAAATTTATAATGTATTTATCTTCATCATTTTATACCAAAATATATAGAATATTACGATTTATATATATAAAAGTTTTATATTATTTTATTATTATAATATTATAATATTTTAGACGGCATAAGCGTTAATATTAGAAGAGATCAAAGTTGGGTTTGTTTTTTTGGTCATTTATATCATTATCATAGATATTCGATCATATTATATTACAAACGATGATCAATTACTCAAATCTAGCTACATGTAACATGTGTAATTACAATAAACAACTCTACATTTTAATAATGTAAAGTTTTATTTTGCAAATTGCAACCACTTAGTGCATATTTTGTCTTTAGATAAATCCAAACCCAAATACTTTGTAAGCGTGTTTCCCTTGTGGTTTCCACACTTATTGAGAATACAAATGGGCTGTATTTTCTCATATGATGGGTAGAATTGATGACAAATGGGCCGGCTTTATAAACAAAATGAGCCTCAGAAACCCTAAAAGTAATAGTATATATTGCTAATTATCCTTCTTCTTACCCTCTCTAGGGTTTTCCGGCGATCTACAAGACTCATTTCAAAATCATGGCGACGCAAATCAGCAAGAAGAGAAAGGTGATTTTAACTGGATCCTTTCTTCTTCTTCCTATAGATCTCTCTCGCTGCATCGTATATCAACTGTTTTCCGTATCTCTGTGTTGAGTTTTGCAGTTTGTAGCGGACGGTGTGTTCTACGCCGAATTGAATGAGTTTTTGACCAGAGAGCTCGCTGAGGATGGTTACTCTGGTGTTGAGGTTAGGGTTACTCCTATGAGAACTGAGATTATCATCAGAGCCACTCGTACTCAGAACGTTCTCGGTATGTTGAATCTGTTTATCTTCATTTTGCATCTCGAAATGACGAGTCTGTGACTTGGGATCCGATAACGATACTGGTTTGGATTGTTGGGTTTAGGTGAGAAGGGAAGGAGAATTAGGGAACTGACATCTCTTGTCCAGAAGAGATTCAAGTTTCCTCAAGACAGTGTTGAGCTTTATGCTGAAAAGGTTATCAACAGAGGTCTCTGCGCCATTGCTCAGGCTGAGTCTCTACGTTACAAGCTCCTCGGTGGTCTCGCTGTTCGTAGGTACGATATGGGTTTTCTGTATTCTTGTGAAACTGCTGCTTTATCAGTTTGTTTGATCTGTTAGGTTCATTGGGTAGTTGACTTTGTTGGCTTGTTACTCGAATGAACACAGTGTATATTTAGGTATCAAGAGTTTGATTGTATGTGGTTCTGTATTGGTAATTTACTAATCTTCATTATCTGCCGATACTGCATAAGGTTTGAGCTAGGTGTTGTCGGCTGAGTATATTGTTCATTGTTAAATATACCTCGTCTCCCAATCAAAGCAGAATGTTATAATAATTGCAATGGTCTTGTGTTGTATAGGGCTTGCTATGGTGTCTTGAGGTTTGTCATGGAGAATGGTGCTAAGGGATGTGAGGTAAATACAAATTTCATTGTTCTGCAATTGTATTTCTTCCGCAAATAATCTCAGAAATTGTTCATATCTGGGAACCAAAATGCTTGATTGCAGGTTATTGTGAGTGGAAAACTCCGTGCTCAACGTGCTAAGTCCATGAAATTCAAGGACGGGTACATGGTTTCCTCTGGTCAACCAACCAAGGAGTACATTGACTCTGCAGTGAGACATGTTTTGCTTAGACAGGTGATTTTCCTCATTCCGAGTCCCTTGTTTTCCTCTTATTGAGTTAGTAAACTCGGGAATGTCTAACCCGAGTCTGGTTTAACCCAAATGTTCAGGGTGTGCTCGGTATCAAGGTTAAGATCATGCTTGCCTGGGATCCTCTTGGCAAATCAGGACCAATGACACCATTGCCTGATGTTGTCATCATTCATACTCCTAAGGAAGAAGATACCAAGTCTGCGCCTGCTCAGGTTGTTGCCCCGGCAGCTCCTTTGATGGAAGCTCCACTCACAGCCGTAGATTACCCTGAGATGATCCATGTGGCCTAAAAGAAGAACACTTTTACTACTACCCCATGGGATTGTGTTATTTTTGGTTTCAAGTTTCTGCCTCTTTTGACAGCTTATAGTTTATCGTATCTTCGAAGCAGACACATTTTCTCGGTTTTGTTTCTTAAACTATCTCAAGTTTCCAATGTTGAATGTCGTTTAGTTCCAATTTCCGCATCTAAACGAGTAGCGGAGTAATTATATAATGGTACGAACCTAGCCCAATTCTGTAGCCGGTAATATAGTATCGGTTTCACATGCCATTAAAATGGCTCTCTTTCATAATATGAAATATTATTTCTCTGTATTTTATGATTTAAAATGAGGAAGTTTGAATTTAAAATTGAGTATTATTTAATTAGTGGTACATTAAATAGGAGCATATTTATATGTTTGTAGTTGTACCATTGTGATTTGTGAATACGACATATGGCGGGTAAGGAGATTCAGGACTGAATACGACATAACAAAACGATACGGGGATAATGTCCACCTCTAAATAATATGCATCATTGTTTCATAAGCACACATTTTCATCGAATCATTGATTTCGTTACATTACATGGCCCACACAAAAATGGCATATTAGAAGATGCCATTTGGCATCCAATAATTGATGCTTCTTTTACAAGAAATAAACAAA